GGGCCGCACCGGGCTCCTGCGGGGCGGGGGCGGCGCTGCGCGGAGCCCCGCGGCTTTCCTTCGGCCTGGCCGAGGCCGCCCGGCGGCATCCGCGCTCTGCCACCATGTTCAGGCGGATTCTGCAGCGGGTAAGGCAGCGAGACCCGCCCCAGCGGCGAGGGCGGTGTGCCGTGCCGTGCCGTGCCGTGCCGTGCCGTGCCCTGCCCCGCCGTGCCGTGCCGTGGAGCTGCCGCTTCCTGGGGCCGGCCGCGATCGGGGCCGCGCTTCCCGCGGCGGAGCCGGAGCTCCCGGCCCGGCCCGTGCTGCGGCGCAGGGTGCGGGGTAGGGCCGTGCCGGCCGGGAAGGCCGTGAGCTTGTCCACCCCCGCCCCCTCGCCGGGGGACGGTCCAAGCCCCGACGGGCCGGGCCCGTGGTCCCGGCTGGGGGCGGTGTCCCGTGGTCCCGGGCTGGGCGGAGGCGCTGTTGACGGGCAGGCTCGCGCGGCCAGGCCTGTCGGAAGGGCGCAAGGCGGCCCTGCCCCGGCGTGGCTCCTTCCCTTCCCGCAGCGCCCGTCGCCGCGGCTGCGGCCGCCCGCGCACAGGGCAGGGTCGGGGGAAGCCCAGCCCGAGGAGAGCCGCCGCGGGGACCCGCCGTGATTCCCCCGCGGGGCCGGCAGGCTCATAACGCCGCCACCGTCCGCCTGTCTGCCGTGTTTAAGGAACCGGCTTTTCCGGCACCTCTGCCTGGCTCGGAAAGCCAAGTTGTGACACTGGTTTACGAAACCCTTCTCGCCTCCCCGGATCCCCGCGCATCCCCGCGGCGGTGCCAGCCGCCTTGCGGTTCGCCTGCGGCTCGGGCGGGAGCTGCCGGGGAGGCACTGGCGCGGTGCAGGTGCCGGCTGGCTCCGGCTACGGGAGTCCGTCACCGCGGGCGCTCGGCTGGGGAATGCACCGAAAAGGGTTGAGTCACGCCGGCGGTGGGCAGGCAGAGCTGCAGATCCCGCACCGCGGGAGAGCGGTGTCGGTGTCATGCAGGAGGCGCTCATGGATAGAGGAGAAACCGGCTGCTCGCCTCGTTTTATCTAGTGTTGCTTCTAAAGCGTACTGTCTGCCTAACACCTCTGTGAAAGGGTGTTTCATTGGAAAGGCTGGCATGCTTTCCTTATCTACCATGCGAGGAAGCATTGCTACAAGAATGAGAGTTAGCATAGGGGAATAAAGTAAGCATATTGCCAACTTTTTCAGTGTAAAGTATACCCTAAATTATTTTTTGGTCCTAGACCCTGAGCAGGTGAAGATCTTGGCCTATTTGGAGCTTCGTGTTTACGAGGAACAACTTCCTTCCTTAAGTTTGATGGGAAGCTCTGCTAACAAGCAGGGAAACTTAATGCCGACCTAATTAAATATTGGCAGTAGGTAACTGGGTGTTTATTGATTCTGAGAGGCCGTCGAGGAAAGCTTCTGTGAAAGAGGAAGAAACTTGATGCAGTGCCAGAGGATATTTGCCCCAAGTATAAATACAGCTAAACACTTTCTATAAAAATCTACTAAAGTTGGTGTGAAAATTTTTATGTGTTAGAAACAGACATCTTTTCTGAAAAGTTTGAACAAATAACTATTCTCCAGTTGTTCCTGAAAATTACAGGATTACAGCAGAGCTAATTGTCAACAAAGGTGAAACAGACTTTTTCCTGCCCAAAAATGAAATAGAGAAATGCCAAGATTTTTAAAGGTGTTAGTCTTTTACTTGGTGAAAATAACTATGCTTTTAAAAATTCACCTCTTATTAAAAGAGGCAGTAAGCATTTTGTAAAAGTAGTGATTGCAAGCACAACCTCATACATACATACCTTTTTGACTTACAGTCTGGTTGGCAAGCCTTGAAAAATGCTTCTGCTCTGCTTTGGTATTAAAAGTGAACTTTTGGGAGCTGTCAGATATTTCCATAAAGAACATAATTATTCAAATCTTTCATGTGACTCATGCAGTAATTTGAAGGCTAAGAAACCTGCTCTTGACCCTTTTTTTGTGCATCATGTGGCAAAGAACCCCTTGCCTTACAGTCACTGAAACATAGTTTCTTATATATCTGTTTGGTTTATTATTTGATTATAGGGGATGCCATCCTTCCTAGTCCAAGAGCTAGTCATTACTGGTGATATAACTTGTGAAAGAATGTTTTTAACAAAAGGAATTCTTTATTACATTTGTTTTTGTTATAACTCAGCTGGCTGTCAAGAAGGATAACAGGTACAAAGATATGGTTTATAGTTTTAGTTACTTGTTTGAAATTCTGGTTCCTGAACTTTTGAAACATCAGATGTACTGCTTCTGTACCTGGATCACCTTTTTTTTTTTCTTCCACAGTTGTAATTGCTGTTTTTAAAAGTGTCTTCACAGTGAATTTGAAGGGCATATTTTCAAAATAGAAAGTATCATATGTTTAGCATTGCTCATTTAGTTTTTGAAGTTAGTATCTCCATGTGATCTTCAACTAGATCCTCCTTTTAGGTCCTTTCCTTATAAAAGCTGTTTCTAAATTTTATGTATGTTTTCAATGTGACATCTCAGGGATCCATCTGTTTTGTACATTTGCACCGTAAACCCCTCTTTCATTCATTCTTGCAACTTCTTTGTTTCATGCATTGTTCGTCATGCTGATCTAGAAAAAAGTGGTCTTTCCCAAAAGGTCTGTGTGGATATTCCCAAATCTGTGTGGAATATCTGAGACACAACTTTCCTGCTCAGAGAGTTTGATTTTTGTCAGTGGATTCCTTGGAGAGCTGTCTTTTCTTTATTGTGTTCAACTCTGAATGCCCTTTGTGGGCATTGTGTCCTCTCTCCGTTGTTCATCTCTAGCGGGCCAGTGGCTGCTGCCTCTGGCTTGTTAAAGCAGAGCTCACTTTTTGTATTTCCAAGGAGGAGGCGTTTATTTTCAGCTGATGCAAAACTGATTACTTTGACCTCCTTTGGAGCCTTCTTCCCATTGCTCGTGTTTTTAAGTGAGGACTCATCTACTGGGCCAGTGTGACTACTGTTTACGTTAGTTTTTATCTTCATTCTTTGCATTTAACTCTGTGTCTACAACTGTTGACAACTGTGCTGTGTTTGAGTGGTAAGTTTCTTTTGCTCTCTGTTTCTAACTAATGTTCGAGTTCTTGGTCTTGAGATCTTGGGGTCTTGGGGGAGAACAGGAATTTGCAGGTGTTTCTGTAGTTCAGGTAATACAGTCACCTTTCTCTTACTCCAAGCTTCGGAACAGATATATTTGCTTGTCTGGGATGCGTTGCATCTCATACCTTATGTATAATTTTCTTTTGCATTTATAATTGCAGGGCTTGCTAGATAGCATATTTACTTGGATGAATGCTGAACTGCAGCTGTGCTAGTACCCTCTCCTGAGGAATCAGAGGGAGCACGTGTGCCCATTCTTGGGCACAAGGTCTACTTTTGTGAAACTGATGGTATGATGGGAAAGAAAGGCTTTATGCCCTGTGAAGTCAGGAGTAACTTAATTTTACAGAGTCATAAAGTAGCATCACACTTCTTTAGAAGTAAGTGATATTAATGTTCTGTATTACAGGTTACCTTGTTTCTAGCACTGCGAGTTGTTTGATAACAAGGCTTTGGCCTTCTTACCTTCTCATTCTTGTGTCTTGCTTGTTCCTTCAGGACGTTTTTATGGTTGTACTAGTACCCTTATTTTGTATTTAAATCTGTGCTGGGCAAACTCTTTAAGTCCATATTTGTTCACATTTTCTCAAGGCTTTACATATTTTTTCAAAGGTTTTAATTTATTCTGAATTTAAAACTGCTGAAAAGAGTATCATAACTGAAAGGAATGTGGCTATAGACAGATAAATGAATATGCAAAAATGACATGGTAGTGACCCATATTTGTTATCAGTCATTTTAAAGCTTAAACTCAACTCATTCATTGTATAATTTTCTATTCCTTTTCAGAAAACAAACTGCAGTCATTGTCATCCTTTTTGTTGTTAATGATGTTTCTTTTTATTAGCTTGCAGTTTTGAGGAAACACAGAGAATGGCATTATGAAGTTTAGCATAGTACTTGTGCAACTGTAGTGCTAGTATTAGAAACATGTTTCTTTGCAAAGTAAACAAATGAACTCAGAAAACTAGGAGAGAAATATGCTGGATCAAAGACTAATTTTGCATCAGTCTTTCAGCTCCAGGTATGACTTCAGGGGTCAAATATTAATTTTGTAAAAGTACATATTACAGAAGCCTGTGTGGAAATTTTCTATGGGATTAATAAGTCATTTATTTGCTCCCCTGAATAGGCCATCTGAAAACAAAGAGTGTCATTGAGTCTTTCCTTAGATTACAAAGTCCAAGTTGTTCAATGTGTTGTGATTTTTTTTTTTAAATGGAATATGATATAACAGTGGTATGTGAGCATAGCTTAACCATCTGTGTGAACCAATTTGATGATGCAATGATCAATTAAAAAAAAACATTCCCAATCTCCCATTCTTTCTTTGAATGGTGAAGGATGTTTAAATTACATTACAGCCTTGAAAGATAAGTTAATTGGATCTTTGGTCTTGGCTTCCATAACATCATTCCAATTTTCTGGGTTTTGTCGTTGTTGTTGTTGTTGTTGTTTTTTCTTGCTACTCTGTATACTTTGCAAATAGGAGCTATGGACTGTAACTTGGAAGTTACTTAATGACATCTTTCCTTCCCACCCTTCTTTCCTGTACATAGCACTCATCAGAAAATGCCACCTATTTGTACTAGGCTTTTTAAATCTAGCTTGGAATTATGCTTTCTTTTTTGAAGAGTACACATTGTTTTTTGAAAGGTTAAAAGGATTTTACCTGTATTGTGTAATAATTTCTGCCAAATAATGCATGCAATAAGACGTGCCGTGCAGTGCTTATTAGTGTGATTATAGCATGTCTGAAGTGTTTCATAAAGCAAATACTTTAATCAAGCATATAGTAATAACTGTGTACTTTTAATGTAAGAGCTTGCATCCTGGAGGTTGTAATAATCTTGAATTTGTAGTGCTAGAACTGGCAGAACTTAATATGCGAATCCCACTGCAAAATGCAGTCAGCTCTGGTATGAAATGGGATAGGTGATTAACAATGTACAGCAGCGTTGCATAGGGAGTTATGAGGTGAAGAAAGTATTGTATTAATTGTCTCAGAAGATTCTTGGGTTTGGTACAAAATGATTCGTTAGGTGTGCTGAAAGCATCTGCTCAGGTATTGCAAAAGAGGAGGTATATGCTGCCTGTCTAAAGAGAGTTTGACCATCTCTTATTGCCATTGCCCAGGCTATCAAGTTCTATTCAGGTTACCCCTGCTCTCTTCTCTCTGTCCAAGGCTACGTGAAGGCACATTCTTCAGTTTTTGGAGATGAAGGGTGAAACAAAAGACTTCCATTTCATGTAAAGCATTAGTAAAGACATGCATATCTGTTAATGCTGACACTTCCTCCATTTCAAAACATCCCATTTCACTTGTGCATGTAGGTGCTGGGACAGACAGGGGTCCAAGTTTTCTGGCTTTCTAGAACCAAACAGCCACCACAGCTAACTACCATATGAAAGCTTTTTGATTTTTCAGATTTCTAAAGCATTTTTAAAAGTTCCTCTCAATAAGAAATTTATTCTTATATCTTGAAAGTTCATCTCCTTTATGGAAGAAAGCTTTGACACTGACCTCTTAATTTTCCCTTAAGTAGACGTATGTGTGTTTGCATCTTCTTTGGATTCTTTGTTCTTGAACAAAGTGGATTCACAAGTGAGGCTTACCGCTGGGTTGCATGGTTGTGGTTTATGCATTGCATGGAAAGGAACTTCTGAACTATATAAAATAAAGAAAATTGGTTATAACATTAGATGCAATATTCTAACTTTGCTGTCTTACTGGGAAACTTGGCTACACCTTACCAATTGTTTTAGATATTATTCTGACTGTCAATGCACACAATCCACATCTTCATTAATGGAGTTACTAAACTTGTATTTCAAAGCTTTCCTGCAGGACGTGTGTTTCTGTGAGCAGCACTTCATAGGCCACAGAGCAATGTGGGCAGGAAGGGAACTCAGGAGCTCTCTAGTCTAAGCTCCTGCTGTGAGCAGGACCAGCTTGGAGGTCAGGAGCAGGCTGCTTAGGCCTCGCCTCATGCTGGAAAATCTGTTTTTTACATCCAGTGGAACCTCTCATTTCAGTTCTGTGTCTGATCCTCCCACTGTGTTCTGCTTGAACCAGCCTGGCTTCTGCTTTTGATGGTCTCCTCAAGAGGTGGTAGTGTGGCTGCTGCTTTGCCCTCCCAAAGCTGTCTCTGCTCCAGGCTGAGCCAGCCCTGTTCCCTCAGCCTCTCTCATGGGGCAGATGCTCCATCTCCAGGTGTCTTGGTGGCATTTTCCTGGACTCACTCTGGTTTATCAGTGTCCTCCCTGGACTGGGAGAGCCAAAACTGGATGCAGCAACTTGACATGGTCCAATGAGTGCCGGCCAGTGAAGGGTGATCACTTCCCTTGGTTGGTTGGCTGGGCTTCTGTTAACACAGTCCAGGGTTCTGGTGTCCCTCTCTGCTGCCAGGGCATGCTGCTGGCTCCTGTTTAGCTTGCTGTCTGACATGAGGCCAGTGACCTTTTCAACAGGGAGACCTCTGTTGCTGCCAGGTCTTTTCCTTCCCTGGCACAGGACTCTGCATTTGTCCCTGTTGAGTGGCATGAGATTCCCAATGGCCTATTCCTCCAGCCCATCTAGGTTCCCCTGAGTGGCAGAGTTGCCCTTGAGTGTATCAGCTAGTGCTCCCAGTTTGATATCACATGGAAACTCGATGAGCGTGCGCCTGTGGTCCGTGCTGGGATATGCCTTGTTTACTGTCTGTATCAGTGACCGGGAGGAGAATACTAACCAATGCCTTCACTTGGATGTGTTTTGCCATGTGCATTGTATCTCTGCTTACCCCCTTTTTTGCCTCTCCTGTTACTAACTTGCATCACTTTGCCTATTGCTTTTGTATGCTGTACTAGAAGGAAACTACGCGTTCATATTTTCTTTAGAAATATAAAACAACTAAAATGAAAAAGACACGGACTAGGAAAAACACCATATGTTGATGACTTAAATTATGACCTCAGAGAAAGCTGGAATAAGAAATGGTTGTCTTCTTTCAGTGTCACCAGACCCCATAGGTTGTTGCTTCACTCCTCCCCTCTTCCCTTTGGCCAGTCTTCAGAGCCTTTCTAAAACTGAAATAGATCTCGCTGGGAATTAAGTCCTTCATCAGTAAATTTAACCTTTTTATTACATATTTTTTTATTTGATTAGTAATAAAATCTTAACTATTAATAAAATGTTATCTTTATGAAAGTTGAAAATAGAACATTCTTTTTAAAACAAAGCAGGAAAATGTACTTTATTTTCAAAGTATGGAAAAGCATGTGTGCTGTAGATGTCTTATAAAAGGTTAGATATCAGATTTGTCTTCAAGAAGAGGATGTATTTGAGCAAGAAAATTCCAAACCAAGTAAGATTTTGGAGACACCAAGATCTGGAAACTAAAGCTATTTATCTATAACTAAAGCTATCTCAATCTATATATTTAAATTCTTTATCTTTATTCCTCCTATATTAAAATATAAAATCCTTTATAGCATTACATGTATTTTCAGATGGGCTAAAATACAGCGGTAGCATTACTTCATCCCATTTGTTGTAAGGGAATTAGATAATGAACATTTTGTTTGTTGAAACTGTAATTGCATATCTGTATTAAGATAATGCCTGATGTTTGCTTTGAGAATGCTAACTCTTCTGCCATCAGTCAAGCAGTGACATTCTGGAGATGAGTAGAAGTTAAACGAAATTTAAATTGAAGTTATAGTTAAATAAGGATTATAAGATACAATCCATTTACTTAGATTTTGAATCATGTAGTATTTAAAATTTATTTGCTTTTTTTAATCTAAACCTATAGTTTCAAATCAAACTGTTGTTTTGATTTTCAGCATATTCATAAGAGTATATCTTTATAGGTTGTCTTACTGATTAATAGGTTTTAACTTTACCAGACTTGATTATTATTTTAATTTTTTTTGAAATAAGGCAGTGTACCTGCTTGTATGCTTGTTGAATCAGCAGGGTCCTCACACTTTAGTTTTCTGTCTTTCAAATACTTAAAGGCTTGTTCAGGTTGTAGACAAGTTATCAGAAAGTAGTGTGATACTGGTTTAATACTTCCAAAACTTTTTAGATTGTAATTTCTAGTGTTTTCCTATAGGATATAGAGACCTAATTTAACATGAGCAAGAGTGATACAAGGGCAGAGTTTAGCCAGATTTTTTGTTTTGTGTCGAGCATTCATGAGAGGAAAGGGTTTAAAATCCTGGTCTTTGCTTATGGTGTCTGCTTGTCCTTTTGTGTATGGAGAGTCTTGGGTAAAAGTTTTTGTTGAAGTGTTGTGCTGAAAATTGTATAATTGCTTGTCAGCTTGTTCGCTTCATTACTGTTGTGAAGGGAAAATACTTCTGTATTCCAGCAAGCAGAAGAGAGGCCTTTATATAGGATTGATACTATGCGTTATTAAATATTTATAAAATATTGAAATGTAGACACTCATTTTTCTCTTTTCCATCTATTTCAGACTCCAGGCAGAGGTGGGTCTCAGAGCTCAGATTCGGATTCATCTGCCACACCTGGAAATGCTGTGGATGTGAACAATGAAGGCTCCTCTGAGGTACTGTGCACCATACGTGGGGCTGGCGTTTTAAACCTTGGTTGCTGGTTCTCTGCTGCATGAACCTGTTAGGAGTAACCTTTGATGCCCTTCCTAAATAACAGCTGTACTAAATAAATACTTGCAAGTGTCATATTCTAAAAATTGTTTGTTATTTAAATAAAAAAAGGAAGGCTAGGCTATATTTATATTTAACTATTAATTAGGCTTATCAATTTGTCGCAAGCAATCCTTCCTGTAGTTCTAGAGATGAATTATTGAAATTAAAAGCAATGAGATGTAAGCTTAAGACTCCTTGTTAGTAAAACTTTTATGAGAGCTGAAAAAAACAAGGCTTAACTCCATTTTCACCTTGCTTCTGCTAAGCTGTAATGTATACTGGAAACCTTGTGCTTCTCGTGAAATATCAAATACATTGGGTTTTGTTTGGTGTTGATGTTGAATCTACCACGTGTAAACCCTATCAATTTTTTATATGCTGTATGCCATACTTAATCAACAGAATAAGTTGTTATTCTTGCTTCAATCCCACATTATAATGTCTTTAGATTTATGGTGTTGTCAAATATTAACTCTGAAAAATGCAAACTGACTTCACTGGCTGTTGAAGCTAGTTTGTGCTAATGTAGCCTGATGACATGAAAATGTTTTGAGCTTAGCATGCAACTACAGCGCAAGGTTAAGTACTCCTATTACAGCATTAAAGGCAGCGAAAGTACCCTTTCTTATGCTGAATAAAGTGTGTGATAATTCAAATACTCCTGTTTGGGCTATAGTAAGAGATAAGAGTAACTTTCACTGGGCTGTTTAAAATCCCGATCTCCTTCCATCTATGCATCTGCTTATTTCTTATTTCTTGAAGCCTTATTGCAGTCAGTGTAATCAGACATCCCTTAATATTTTGCTGCATGTTGTACATGTCACAGATTTTTTTAGTCTAGATCTGTTTTGTATGCATATTTAGCCATCCCTGAAGCAAATAAATATTCTTAAATTGCAGACTAAAATCTTTATACTTTTGCAGTTAATTAAGGCATGAAAATGTGCAATGAGATAGCTGCTTCTTTCCAAAGTTTGGCTAAAACTGTACAGTTCTGTTAACATGACTGCAAGATCGCTGACTGTACAGCTTGTGGGTGTCACAAGGTACCTCAATACTGGTGCAGCAGTATTTTCTTAACATCAGATGAGATTTCAAAGTGGTGTTGTGCCTGCACTCTTGCCCCATTGGCTTGTCTTGCTACTGAAACAAAATTGGGTCAGACCAAAAACTGCTTTGTCACTCTTGGTTGTTATGCATGTATAACAAGAAAAAGTATCTTTTGGTTGTCAATAATCTCAGCATTTGTTGCATGAGTTACAATTTGGGTGTTATCCTTAGCAAAGAAGTTCAAAGTCTGTTTCAAACTGAGCTCTGCACTTAGTGATGGGTTTTTATTCTCCTCAGATTCTTGCATTACAGCATGCAACTCGAATCTTTCTGTGGGTCTTCCTTTTCCTGCACAGCTGACTTGAGGTGGTGTCTCTCTTGGAACTTCTCTTCAGGAGCGCCATAGTTGGTCTCTGCAGAATGTTCACTCTTTGTTTTATCATTATGTTCCCACTTGGTTCTCCAGCATTATGTAGTCAGAAATCTATTAACTTGTTTTCACTCCAATTTCTTGGCTAGATTTTCTAAATTTGTATTGCTTCAAGATTCAAATGAAGAATAAACATTAGATCTGTGCAGCTTCATATGTTTTCTACCTCCTCAAGCCTGGTTGAGATAAATCCTGATTTTTGAGAATTGTGGTATGAAACAAAAGGAGTGGGTAGGTCTGAATTCAAACTACTCAAGAAGAGGTGAAAATTTGTTTAAGTCCGATCTGTGGCCACGTCAGCACTTCAGGTCACACACAGACTCGTAATCAAGTCTAGATACGTCTTTTCTTCACTGTGCAGCGTGCCCAAGGAGGAAATATTTGAGTCTGTCCTACCTTTGTAGCTTAGGTCCCGGTGCAACTCTATCTGCTAAATACTCCATGCTTGCAGTGAGTCTACCAGCGAGATTATGCTTTTCTTGGTGTAATGTGGCTGTGTTAGCTAGACAGGTTTGCCTCAGCCTCACCTGCTGCTGTTGCAAACTTGCTTATTAATTTATAGAGGTATTTCTGCAACCTCACCACACCACCATTACCTCTCTCTGTAAAACATCTGAACACCCTTATGGGAAACCTCATGATGGATGTACCTAGTAATACTCCTTTCACAAATTGTTACAGAGCTTATTTGTCTGTCACGTGAAGGGGTAACAAGAGTGTCAAGAAAGCACATAGCTAGCATGGTGCTAGCTTTTAAGGCATGTTTTAGATTTGTTTATTATTTTGTCCTTAATAACTGTTCCTTCTTGCTTTCTCTGTAGTATTATATGTTTACAAAAGCTATCTTTCTGAAAGGAAAACAGACTTTGCTTTTGACTGTAGAGAACTTCCAGCATAAGAATTTGAACTTCTGATTCTAGATCTGCTTTTTTTTTATTGGTCTTTATTAGTTTCTTAAAAACAAATATACATTTCACAGGGCTTCATCTGTCCACTATGTATGAAAGTGTGTGTAACTCCCACTGATCTGTCTGAACATTACAAGAGTGAGCACACTGGGCCAGAAGGAAGACAGGAGCTTCGTGACCTCCCAGATATTAGTGTGGGTCTTGTTTATTTTGTTTCAATACCTTTGGTAATGGGCTGCTTTAAATGAATCTACATCTTTTCTTGTGGCTTGGGTGTTAGCTTTTTAAATTGTTTCTTTTGATTCTTTGCTTAAACATAATTTGATCTCTTGTGCATGATTCCAAAGTATACATTCAGCAGAAGAATTAATCTTTGTCTAGCTTTCTGGTTTACAGTTTTCTGTCACATGAGACATTTGCAGTATTGGAAGACTTGCAGTCACTGATATATGCTTTTCTTTTTAACAGCTTTTGCTTGATTTCCTTGTAAATAAGATTGTTTCCTTGTTTGATTTATTTCACATAAGACTCAGTATCATGATAAACATGGTGTTGGATCTTGCACATCCTTTGTGAAAAGAAATGTTTTGAGCTCTTACTAGTTAACTTTTTAAAGCAGATTTCTACTGCAAGATAGGTACATTGGGTAAAAGAACAGAGGACAGAAATATGAATTCTCAGAAGCTTCTCTTCTTAAACATGTTTATATTGCAGCAACATTATAAAAATAATTACAAAACCAAATTTTTAATACACAATCTTATTGGAATTTTTATGCCCCCAAGAAAATGCAAAGGTTGTTTCAGTTAATAGACATAAATTTTAGTGCATTTCTAAATTCTTCCAGTTGTGGAGTGTAAAACCACACAATTAAAACAAAGTGTGTGGTTTTACTCTGCACAACTGGAAGAATTTAAATTCTTGAAGTTAACAGCCTCCAGCTGCACAAAGCTATCTGATATTTTTCTGCTGTGAACCTTCAGTGAGTAGATTTGACTTCTGGGGGCAGGCAGCTTGCTGTGCACTAAATGAGTTTGTGTGAAGTTTTGCATTCTTTCTGCCAATGTTACTTTTTTTGAGTTTTGAAATCAAAGTGTTTATTCTAGACTATGTGTGTGACATGATTTTATTGTGTTTGTTGTTGTATACATTTGCTAAGTAGTGCTTTTCCCCTTCCCTATACTTGATGTATATTTGCATTATAGTTTTGAAAGGAAAACTTCAAATTGTGAGATGTTATTCTGATGGACGATGAAAGCCATCAATACATCGATTATTCTAGTGTTAACTTGAGATGTCATTTTAAGGGTGTAACTTGAGATGTCATTTTAAGGGTGAAAGGTCACCTGTTAAAGTGAGGAGGATTTGTGCTAAAACTGGCCTGTGTTGCTCTCCTGAAGTGGTGTGGGACCTCCTCAGAACCAGGACAACTGGAGTATGGTTTTTGATTGGCTCCTCACTGCATCTTGTTGAAGCAGAGACCATCTGTAGTGATCTGTTGTGGTCAAGTCAGCTTTTTACTTTCTTTATCATCTGGTCACAATGTAAGGTGCTGTACTTGAATAAGCTGTGGCATTCTGATGCAATGGTGTCAGTAGATTGTGGAACCATCAGAGGTGGTTTGATTACCTGGAGAAGTTACTGTTTTATTTAAACTGGTTGGGCTTGGCATAATTTTATGGAGATGACTGCAGGGTTCTTGCCCACCTTGAGTTTTTGTTTTTCCACCATTAGTCAGTACTTTTCACTTATCAACAACTGATTACATTTTTTTAACTTGATAAAACTTGTGTATTGAGCATAACACATGAAATACAAATTCAGTTGTTTCTGGCTGTTGCTGTTTCCTGTTGTTGTGTTTCTTTGTACAGTGGTTCAGTAAATATCTATAAGGGGTGAGAAACAAAGAAGACAAATATATATGTATTTTTTTCCCTAGTTTGATCTTTTATTATATCAGCATGCCTAGAAGCATTGAAAAAGTGGAGAATTCTGTTAATTGCTATCGTCAGTGCTAGTATGAAAACTTTCAAATACTTGACTACTGAGAAGCTGATTGTTTGCTGATGGAAAATAATAGTTTGTGTTTGTAGCGAACACATTGAAACAGCAACACAGCCAGGTTGTCGCCCTTCATTCAATATTTGTTGTTCCTGGGACAGCATTATAACAATGATATAATGTTGTCAGTGTCATCTTGTGTAGCAGACATGAAACGTTGCTGGGTTTGGCTTACTTAAACTGGTGTTTAGCTTTATTGCTTGTGGATACTATTGGGAAAAGTTCAAAGGTATTTTATTGGAAAGAGTGCTGAAGAAGCTTGCAAGTTCAGTTTTTTTGCCAGTGCATTCTCCTTAAAGCAAGGAGATAGGATATGTTGCAAGGCCAGTGTTTGTTACACTTTGAGGGACCTGAAAAATTGTTACTTGGTTAACAAAAGCATTGCTACTTTGCTTTAATTTTTGCCCATAGTTTCTTTGCTAACACTGATACGCCCTCCCTGCTGATGAAAATTTTAGTAAGTCAGATCATTTACTTCTCTCTTCTTCTTGTCCTTCCTCTCTGTCCTCCATGCAGTGAGAGTTTGCGGTGGTTTGAGCCACCACAAAAATCCAAAATCCAGAGTTGATTTTGTTTTTCACACCTGCAGTGTCCTGTTGTAGGAACGGTTTCTTGCCAGTCTGATTTATAGTCATCTTCTTAAACAACTCTCTGTGCAGCCCTCATTTTTCAAACTAGGGATTGAAACTTATGATAACTGCTGAAAATGTCAGTGTATTACTTTCCCTTGCCCCTCAGGCATTGATGAACCCTTACTTTAGAAGACAAAGGCTTATTCAGCTGCAGGAACAACCATCAAAATGTTGGCAAGTGTCTGTCCATGTATAGCCAACTCAACCAAACAAATGCTTTATAGAAGTCACACACATCACCAAGTCCCCCAACATTGTCCCCCAGCTTTCAAGTATACAGTGGTGTCGCTAACAAAAGCTGTGTAGCAGCTTCTGCTTTGTTTTCTTTTTCCCAAAGGAATGATACATTTCTAAACCATGCCCAGCATTTCCTGACAGTCTCCGTTGGACGTTCAGGACATCTAAACAGTGAGTCAGTTATAGAGGCATAGTTTGAGACTTCCTGTCCTGTTTTTATCTGGGGTGTCCAAAACAACCACTGTATGGTACCCCTGCAGTGTTTAGAATATAGAGGCTGTTAATATCTGTTTTCTTACCTACCATTGAGCTAAATTTAGGGCAATTTTTAAGCAGTTCTTTTGGGTAGTCTTCATAACTTTCCAGATGTTTAGTAAGTATGTATTTCTTGGCTAATACAAACAAACTATGGCCCTGATGTTTTCTGAATAGGCTTTTCACAGCAGAATTGCCAATAGTGTAAATTGGTATACTGGTTATGCAAAAATGTGGGGGTTTTATGTCTGTCTTTAAAAAAACCTCATTCTTTATGGTGTTTTTTTCCCTACTTGTGGGAATCTACAAGTAGGGAAAAAACATCTACAATCATCTTATTGTAGATGCAGTTGATTGAATCTTCTGTTTTTATGCATGCCCTTGGAATGTTGCAGACTGTATTTGCACAGAACATCATGTCAGTGCTTTACTGATGATGTTTTATTCTCTTTCAGTTGCTTCTCAAATTAGATTGTGCTGGCTGTTTTCACCTCAGCACTACTTGTCTGCTTTACACAGGAACAAAAATAATTGATTGAGCTACATTAGTACATTAACTTTCTGCAACATCTGAATAATATTAAGAGAATGAAGAATTAGAGATACTGATTTGATATGACTTTGCTGCATGATGTGACTTTTCTTTAAGAAATAGAGAATCCACTGGATTATTATTTCTAATTCATGACAAAATTGTAGTCTTGTAGGTTGTGACAGAATTTTAGATTTACTCATGAATAGCAATAGAACCAGAAGAGAACTGAACTAGAAATTATGTGGATTCTGTTCTTCTCAGGAGGAATCCAGCTGTTTTTCCAGGAAGACATCAGTTCTGCAATCTGGTATAAAATAAACTAGCAATGTACCATTGTTCTCTTTGTCCAGGAATGTGAATACTTACTTGTAAAATGGAAATGGACTGCAGGACATTTTTACCTACTTTGCTAGTGATTAAATAAAAATGTTATCTGAGGAAGCCACTGTCATCTCACTGTTTACGTAAACACAGAGGAAAGGGCTTTTTCTGGTGAAAGAAGTGAAAAACTGTCAGTTGTCCTTTTAACAATATGTAAGGAGAATGACATGGGGAGTGACCTAATTCTCTAACTTAAAATATCTCATAATTTTCTTTTAATCAATATATAAGCATTTTGAAACAAATTGTGAAATGTGGTCTTGCCCTTGCTGTCTAGGCAGACAGTTTAATCTACCTTTGAGAACTTCCTGAAGATTCAGTTAATTGCTTTGATATATATTTGGGAAATAAAATCTAGAAACTACTTGATGCATCTTTCAGCTCTGCAATATCAGTATGGTTTTGCCTTCTGGTCGTAAGTATATAGAGTTTCTAACCTTCTGTCATGTAAAATCTTTCAGTCTTTCAATCACTGTGTAACTGAAGAATATCTGAGTTTTAGCTCAGACTTGCTATTTAAATGTTGCTGAATATGTGTATCTGGTATGGGGGAAGATTGTGGAAGTTCACCTGCAATGGAAAAAAACATGAATAGTGAGCTTACTTTCAGATTTTTAAACATGCTGGACTTTATTCACAACATACAGCTTATTGTACCAATACAGTTGCATGAGAGTTGCTAATGTAAGTCTGGAATCTGAGAGATGGGCAAACATAGGTCACGGCTGGAAGGTGTTATAGCTCTGGGCTTGAATCACTGCTATTGGCTCGTTGTTCATGCAGCTCACTGAAAACAGGCTGTAACCTTGAGTGCTGACCTGGTATTTCTGGAAGGTCAATGATGAAACTTAGATACTCAAATCTATTTAAATTTAAAGCCTGGTCATGTGAATGCCAAGTGTGCTAAAGTGCATACTGGTTTGGGCTAAGCTGTTCCTATAGCATGTATATGGTAGAATAATCATGAATGTTTTCCATATGGTAAAAGTATCAATTATACTGAAATTCTGTGGTGTGAGGTTTGTTTTTTGGGGGCATGGGTTGGGGTTTTTTTTGTTGTTCACCACAGTACTTAAATATTTTCCAAGAAGAA